AGGCTTAAAAAATGAGGGTTTACATAAAACCTAGAAGTGTAGAAAGCTTGAAAGGATGTTGAATTCATTTCTGTAGCTAGAACACCATTTTCTCTAACATCATTTGCACAAATCAGCATTTATGTTGTCAATTTACAGTGATGAATGTGTGATTAACACTGAGCCTATAGGACAGAGGGGAATCTGTCTGTAAAGAGATTTTAACCACAGCACCTCTCTCCACTGAGTTACTCTAACATTGTTATGATTTGGTGGGGATAATTCTCCAGATCCCAAACTTTTTTGTTTTACTCCATTAGTCCATAGTAATAAAACATAGGATGAAATCCTGTCACCATTAAAGTCCATGTTAAGAACTCCTGGGGCCAGGATTTCAATCACAGTGTGGAGTTTGGTTTTTTTTAATGACGCTATGTTTTGGGAGCCATATAATAAAATGTTCCTTGAGTTTCCTGCTAGCATACACAAGCTGTGAGTAACAAGGAGAGGTGTGAGTGTGCGTGAGAGAGAGCATGTGCAAGTGTCTATTGGTCCGGGGCCAGATGTTAAAGGTGGAAGGTTACAAATAAAGACAATCAACCAATCTCTATTTCAATTCTAGTTAATACGCTGGGAGACCAGTAGATCTGCTCTGTGGGGAAGGATGAAGCTGGTAAGATGAAAACAGGTAGTTAGAGCTGAGTGACATGTTCACAACCAGACCCGAAACCACATAAAATATGACTGCTTCCTGTCTTGTTATAAATTCTCCACTCAGCTCAGGTTCAGCAAGGAATCTACTAAGACTCATGAACCTTTTGCTCTAACCTGGAATGGTTTTATGGTTGTATATTAAAATTGGACAGAATTCATAGTTTCACTTCAAGTTTCTGGGGTTTCTACTTTGAAACTCCAAGTGACTGTCGGGGCACCAACTCAGAGAAGAAATATTAGATGGTGGTGGAGTGTGTGGGAGAGGAGGAAGTTTCACAAATTTCTTAATTCTCCCATTCACCCCATTTTCCTCAGGCTTCTGTACTTCACTTTTGGTCAGGCTAGAAGTAGCAATACAGACCCCCTCCCCCAAGAGATTGTATTGTGGGTTTAATTTCTCGAGTGGGGGTTCAGAGAGTTGGGATTCTCTTTAGAAAACCTGCAGTCTTGAAATGGGGAGAGACCTTCTAACTGCACCTTTTGCTCCTTGCTAACCCTAGCAAGCCTTTCACATTACATTACTGCATTACTGTCCATGAAAGCTTATGCCCAAATAAATTTGTCAGTCTCTAAGGTACCACAAGGACTCCTCGTTGTTATTACTGCATTAGTTTCTCAATACAGCGAGCGGGTATAAGACCACTGACTGATTCAGTATTAGGCCATATAACATTAATGTTCAAGAGCAACCAAGTAGGTAAGGTTAGAGCTATTATTCTTTTCTGTAGGGAAGTGAAAATATTTTGGACATTGAACCAAAAATGCCTCATTCTCTTGATTTCCTAGCACTGAAATCTGATGGGTGCTGAGTATTTGGGGAGAGTCAAGTTACTAGTTTGACACAATCTAAGGCTTTGACTCCAGGCTGCTTAATCCCTAACCATATCTCCTTGACAGTATGCAACCCTGATGAAACAGGAATCTGTCTGTCTGACCATCGGGATTTAAAAAGCAGAAACCAGTGCAAAACTAAGGGGGGGGGAGGGGAGTGGAGGAACAGTTGGTTATATGGTGAAGGATCTGCCTAGATTGTGATTCAAGGACTTGTGCATTTCATCACTAGTTCTTGTTAGCTTATGATCAGTGTGCCAGCATTAGAAGCTAGAAGAGAGGAAATAGTGTGTTTTAAAATCTCGGTTGGCCTAAATAGCGAATTCATCCCTTTTTGTTCAGTGGAGCGTATCTACACTTCACCATCCTGGCTATTGCCACAAGAAAAGAATGTAGGCTAAGAAATTACTGCAAAAGGCACCATAGGACTTTGAAATTAATGGACTATAAAAATACATAAAAATGATACCATCGGTATTAAAAGCAGGGCCCGATGAGGTAATAGTGATGGAACAGTATTGAATCTGAGATTGATTTGATTTACAGGCAGATATGAAAGAAATGCTCTTGTACTCCAACTTAAAAAACAGGCGAAGAACTACTTCTTTCTTCAGCTGTCTAGTTAATAACACTTGTCATTAAATGGAATGGAAAAGTTACAGCTAAACAATATGCATGATGTGATTGCCTAAGTCTTCAGATGACTAATTAAGAGGCATCTGTACAGAAATCTCCTGCTAGCAGAACAACACAGGAGTAAGTGGCAGTGTCCTGCTCTTCCAGATACATTTGTCAAATGCAAATTTTTCCGCAGAAAATTCTTTTTAACAACCGATGCAATTAGCACAGAAAGTAGCTGAACTGTTTTATGACCTGTGCATCAGTCTTGATGGAGCAGAGTTGTTCCACTATGTGGGAGTGGCAGTACCCTTTAACATGAGACTGATAATTCAGACTAGCCCACTAAATAATAGCAGAGCCAACATCGGTTAACTCCTTTTTTCTTTCCTCCAGTGTAATGTCCGGTCACACATGGGAAGAAACATAAGGGTTGTTAGCATCTCAGAGAGTATGATGGAGAAGTAGATATGTACTGGCTGGGATTGTCTTCTCACTTGCATTGATTTTCACTGGCATAAATTGCACCGATCTCAGTGGTGATGTTCTTAATATTACACTGGTGTAAATTAAAAGAGAACCTAGCCATTGATTCTTTTCCAAGTGGCCCATATTAGAACGCTAGAATGAAAACCGAGTGTAGCATAACTATACATCCATCTTCCTGAGACTTAGCTGCATCCAAATGTCAATGTGAAAAAATCAAATCACTTCCCTAGGGGTCTTAGTATTTACTTCCTTTATTTTTAGTAAAGATTTCAAGCTTTCTATTCAGAAGTTTATTAAAGGCAAAATGTAAAGATCATTTTACTAAAGAAGATACTTCTTGGCAATCCAATCCATTCTGAATTTCCAGTTGGGATAGGTGGGCATGCTCTGAGATGACATCTTTGTTTCCAGCAACCAGGATGTGCTAGTTTTTTGCATTTACCGGCTGAACCCTGTAGTTCTAAGTACTTTCAGTTGGGATTACATGTTGTGTTGTAGGGTTACTCAGGGCAAAAGATTAATTAGAGTACAGGAAGTGACAGAAGGAGTCAGAATTTAAGAAAGCATCTATCATTAACTGGAAAAGAGGCGGTGTGTTCTGAATTGTTACAACTCGAGGTAGGAAGGGAGGCTGCGATCATCCCAAGTGTTTCGTACAGGCAGCCCTCCTGTTGTAGGCTTTTACACTGTAACCTTCGTCTGTCTGTCACATCAGCACAGACTGAAGCTATGCAGCAACAACAGATTGTGAACTGGAAAGGTAAATCTGATTTAGGCCCTTCCTTTTTTTTTTTTTTTTTTTTTTTTTAGTGTGTGTTAATAGACACTGTTTTTTGTAATACAAACTTAAAATAATAAAAGTGACAACACGCTAGTGGCTGATAAAATAGTTTAGAGGGAACAGATTTTTTTTTTAATACAGTTATGGGACCCTCCGATTTGACACGTGATCAGACAAAAATTGATTTACAGAGTGAGTAATACGGATAGAATGACTGATGCTAAAAGTGGGGAGAGAAATGCCCCTGAAGTCAATGGGATCTTTGCCGTTAACTTCAGTGGGTGCAAGGTTGGACTCTGAGAATATAAAAACTGCATTGAGGCATTATTTGATGTGTCTATAACTTTTAATAGATGATCCCTATATATTTTTGTTTGGAAAAGGATAGAGTTCACATTTCCATTGTAAACTAACATGTGAGAACACATCATGTGTCCAAATAAGTAAAACTCCATGTAATGTACACTCACTAGTTAATAACTAATATTCTTTCACTGTAAATATTAGAGTTATATCCTCAGCTCCTCTCCCCTCTACATGGGTACTTCCACGTTCATGATGAATCCATGACCGTACAAAACATGAACAGTAGGTTGGTCCACACTGACTTTTCTTGAAGAAGTTCAAGGCTTTCTCTATCCCAAAGTTGTATCTGTGGCTTGCCTACACTAGGAGAAATGCGTGGTTTTTAACATTTGTTATAATCCTAGTGTAGACAAGGCAAGTTGTAGTTTTTAACACATGCTAGGTAGGTAGGGTAAACCCTCCCCTTAAGTTTACTAGAGAGAGTCATCTGATGACAAAATGCCAGCTTCCTAGAGATCCCCTGATCCTGCTTACCTATTGCTTTAGTAAAAGTTCACCTTTATAAGCAGAACAAATTAATTTCTTTCATGTTAGCAGCTGGACTTTGTGTATTGCACATTATTAGAAACATATGAACCCCTCCTTCTATAGAATTGTGGCATAGTAAAATATGGACTGTCCTTGTAATTGAAAAGCTTTCACACCAAGTACATACACAAGAGAAGTGCCACCAAGAAGATAGGTATTTAGCAATTTGGTCACCCTTTCTAGTGCATCCAGAGAAATAGGGCTCCACAGCCAGCAAGCCAGAATCTTTAGCCTGATCCTGAATAAGTAATGTACAATGTAGTTTTGACTGGGTGCCTGGGATGGACCACACTGAGAATGCTACACTCAGAGCAGACTGTAAGAAACAGGGCAGACAATCCCCCCCAAACTGGTGGTTTATTCTATACTTAGATTCACCAAACCAATAACAAAGGAGCTTCTGTAGCACCACACTGATTAACCAGAAGCCAAAGACAGTCTCCTTTAGGCATTCCAGCCCCTTGGCTCTCATCCAGACACACAGGTCTAATATAGTGAGAGGTTACTGAAAACCCTATTCACCATACTTAAGATTCTTCCAATCCCAAAGGATCAGACACTTATCCCCCCAGGTCAATATGTATTTCAGATCTTACCCAAATATCATGCTGTCAGCCAATCCTTAGTAAACTAACTAAAGATTTTATTAGTAAAAGAAGAGATGTATTGAATGGTTAAAGAAACATATACATACAAGTGATTTTCAGTGTTCATAGATCAGGATCGTAGCAGTAATCATGCTGGCTTGCAAAAGTCTCTCTGGTAACTTCCAAAAGATTGGATGGTCCTCAGTCCGTTGTTCAAAATACTCTGTTTAGCTGTAAATCCACAGTCCAGAGAACTGGAGCAGAAATGAGGCAAAATGGAGATATCTCGAGTGTCTTTTATATCTTCTGCCATGTGCATTGAAATTTACTGTCCCAAACAAAGCCCCTGTGTATGGAAAGTTACTAAAAAAGATGTAGTCCGAGGTCACATGTCCACATCACATGCCCTTATAGGTCTTGCTGAATCACAAGGGTGGCCTTTGGCTCCTTGTTGTCTGAGGCATCCTCAAGAAGAGCTGTCGGAAGAGTTCATTCTTCTGAATGACCCATCAAGCTTTAAATACTCCATTCACAATGGGCTGTCGAGACTGAATGTAAACTACCTTGTGGGTGTTACCCCAAGAACAAACACATTTGAGATATAAATACATAGCCAATATTCATAACTTTAGATACAAAGCTGATACATGGATTTAACCTGGATAATCATACTTGACAGACTGTAATTTGTCCCTGGATACCTTACATGATATATACTGTGTACAAGATTTGTAGCAATTATATAATAATGGTAACAATAATAAATGGTCACCCATCTTTTATACAGCGTCACAAGAATATGTTAATGTTTTATTGTAACTCTGTCTTAATAAAAACAAAATAGAAAACCTACAACTAACCTTGTCTATAGTACGATTTTAGCACACAGTAAAAACAAACTTTTTGTGTGTGTGTGTGTGTGTAGATGTGGCCCCTGTGGCTTCTCAGGCCTTGGCTACACTTACCCGCTAGTTCGACGGCTGGAAATCGAACTTCTGGGTTCGACTTATCGCGTCTAGTCTGGACGCGATAAGTCGAACCCGGAAGTGCTTGCCGTCGACTGTGGTACTCCAGCTCGGCGAGAAGAGTACCGCGGAGTCGACGGGGGAGCCTGCCTGCCGAGTGTGGACCAAGGTAAGTTCGAACTAAGGTACTTCGACTTCAGCTACGTTATTCACGTAGCTGAAGTTGCGTACCTTAGTTCGAATTAGGGGGGTAGTGTAGACCAAACCTCAGATTATTCTCTATTCAGGAGTTAGTATTTCTTCTTGGATGCAGCCCTGTAATGTCAACTTTGGCCACCAGAATGCAGTTGGGCCCCCAGGAATGATATTGGGGGGATATGCTAAGCCTGCATACCTCTTAACATGGTGACAGGTTCTTCCCTTGATGACTGTCATGGGGCCCCTACTCCCTGACCATATCTATAACTGAGCATCTAGTCTGTTTTTTTTCGTTGTCCATGTGCCATAAGGTAGCCAACCTTCCACCTGCAGGCTGTGCATCTTTTTGTTTGGGCAGAGCACTAAGTAACCACTGCCATTTTAAAAAAATGTGAATGTATATCCTAACCACTTCACGATAACTGTACTTTGTCATAAAATGCCCAGTGGAATTCCTATCTTTATTTTTAATGGAGAGTTTTCATGGATTAGTAGATCATTAAACTACATCTGGATCGTGGAATTGTGAGTCATTGCAGAGGTGAAAATCCTTCCAATCTGTACGTTTACGACACGGTAAAGAATTCAGTGAAGTTTATCTATGTAAATAGAAAATTGCCAGCCTTATTTTCACATTACACTGCTGCTTTTGATTGAACAGATAGCTCTCCTTGAAGTTTGTTGAAGCCAGAGACTGAAGTTTTGGTGGCTGAGTGCTGCAAACGTTTGCCACTGGCAAATGTACGCCACTTCTAGTTTTGACAGTGTCTGGCATTTTTAGAGAGAGAGAGATGAACTCCAGTCAGTTCAGTTAAGCAAATCGTAGATTCTGATTTTATATTCAAAACCAAACCAATCAATCCCACAATCACAGTTTGCAGTGGTTCTTGAAAGAAAAACTGGGCTGCCAGCTTAAAATTCACAATTCAGTGTGTCAAAGTGTAGCTGTTTCATTCTGCTTACCCTGAGTGGAGGTTACATTGCCTATCCCTTCTTCTCAAAAGATAAGCACGCTCCCTCTCACCATTATTCATATGTCTTCGCAGCTAGTTGGTGACCTGAATTCCCTAGTTTTCTGAAGCACCCTTGTGCTGTCTAGAGAGCTTTTTGTGTAAAGCTCTCAGAATGCCTGGAGAATGCTGATGGCTACTTAGAGAGTCTAACTTCCTTTCTGGTGGTTGGCTGTATTTTAACAGCCGGGCTGTCTCCTGATTTTAACCAAAGGAACATACATGTCATAGAAACTGGGATTTTCAAAGAGGGACCCAACTCTCATTGACTTTCAGTGAGAGCAGGGCGACTGACAATCTTCAGCCCCTTTGAAAGACCCAACGGGTGTGTTCAGTTGGTGCTATCAAACCGAGAGAGGAAGGAATCTTACTGCACTACCATTCAGGGTGAGAGCAGAGGGAGTGAAGATGAAAGAAGGTGAAATGGTTGCAAAAGAGGAGTCCAGTGCGGGCTGTGCTGAGGCTACAGTTCAAAATGGTGGCCTCCTCTCAAACTGGTCTCCCCCTCAAAGCAGGCTGTGTGGATGTTGAACTGCTAGTGGAGGTTGAATCTAGTGGCAATCAGGTCGCACCCAGTGGCAATCAGTGGAAGCTTTTATTTCTACTGAATTGTGTTTATTTGCAAAAAGTACCAAATCTGTGGCCGGCTAGGAGTTCACGTTTGTCCTTGTGCTGCAAGCCATGACCGCCCAGCTTCCTGGTAGAACCCAGATTTTCCTTCCAAAGCACAAGTCTCTTACCGTTTTCGGCTAATGGAAAATTACCTGGAGCTGTTAGCAGTGTCAGGACTATGACATACACATGAGCAGTTCTGATGCCATCCAGTAGGGGTAATGGTATACATGCACAGTCTGTTGCATCATTAAACTCCTTGCCATGGTCAGGTGCCCGAGAGGAAGAAAACAAAAGACAATATGTTTGCAAAAAATTTGGAGAGGGAATGCCCTTGATCTTTTGGAGAGCCTCTAACATGCCTTTAAGTGCCCAGCTGGGGGATCCCCGGCATTTGAAGGTGAGGGCTGCACTAGCTGGGCTAAAGAAGCAGCTCTTCTGGCTTATCCCAGCAGAGACTTTTGTAAGGATTGAGGCCAGGCCTACACTACAAACTTACATGGGTGTAACGACGTCGTTCAGGGGTGTGAAAAATCCACCCCCCGAGCGACGCAGTTATACCGACCGAACCACTGGTGTAGACGGTGTTATGTCGAAGGTAGAGTTTCTCCCGTTGACATAGCTACCGCCTCTCAGGGAGGTGGATTAACTACGCTGATGAGAGAAGCCCTTCCGTCCGCAAAATAGCGTCTTCACTAAAGCGCTATAGCAGGGCAGCTGTACTGCAGCAGGTTTTTAAGCATAGACCTGCCCGGAGTCCAATACAAATCTGACCGCGTGTGAATCATTCGCTAGCAAAAGGTAACAAATGGCCGTGCGTTGGATAGGACATTTCTGATGTGTCCTGAGTGATCTCAGTAGAAGTGTGTTTTACTATTTCCTCACATACCCAGGGCCACTTCCTTGTGCTCCATGCGTCTGCTCTTCCCATAGTCCCTCCTGTAAAAATGCAATAGTATTGACATTTCACTTCTTTCCTTTGTGTCTTTATGCCTGTTTGTTTGTTTGGTGGTTTTTAAATAGTAACCAATTTTTTTTGGCGGGGGCATCAAGGGAAGAGGCGAATACCAATCTGGAAGTTGGAGAAGGCCCCACTGGAGCCAAGGATCGGGGATCCGCAATCCGTGTCCTGTGGTTGCCATAAATCAGGGCCTGAATCTGCAGTATGCTGTAAAAGCCAGGCAGAACTGTCTTACTCAACAGTAGGTTTAGTAGTTACATTTTTTTTCTCCCTAATGATTATCTCTGCATAGTGTTGACCTAAATTAAGAATGTCTCGTCGTTGCCATAGCTTCAGTGTGTTTCTAATGGAAGGAGGGGTCTGATGGCACCCAGGTTGGAAGATATGAAGCCCCACTGAGTCCTGCATTTCAGCCCATGGCAGCACTTTCCTTTCAGAGTCTGGGTGGGCAGAGGAACAAGTGGGAGGGAGTGAATGTAGGCTGGCAGGAAGGGAGGGGAAGGTTGGCTTACATGGATAGCTCCTGTTTTTAAAGAAAGAAATGAAGCTGAATGACTAGGCAGGGAGGCTTATTCAATTAGGTGTTTTAACAAATGGAATCATGCTACCTGTCTCTCTCCTCAATCTGATTGCTCTGCCTCCACGTTTACCGCTTGCACCCTGCAGCTCTCTCCGCTTTAGACTAAGCGCTTCCGGCAGGGACCCTGTCTTCCTCTGTGTGTTTGGAAAGTGCCTGGCACGGGGTGGGAATTGCCGTAATCAAAATACTAATGATCTACGTAAGGTTGCCAATTCTGGTCGGACATATTCCTGGAGGTTTCATCGCATGACCTAATACTTAATTAAAGACTAATCTTTAATTCCTGGAGACTCCAGGACAAACCTGGAGGGTTGGCAACCCTAGATATATGGAAGTGCAGTGCAAAGAGACTGTGGATCCCACTACGGTGATGCTCCAACTTGGTGTGAGCGGCCTCCGTATCCACAGCTTCAATCTGCCCCCTATTCATTTAAACTGGGTTTAGCTCACTGGGCTCCTGATAACAGGTCAATGCAGCCCTCAGTTGGTCTAACATGGGTGCCCTGATCTTGGGCTGGTGCAGGGAAAGTCTGGCTGTGTCTCAGTGAATCTGCCCTTCATTCCTTGTGCCACTGAGATTGCACATGCCTACACAGAGAATTTCTCTACTCACAGGTTGTATGTGACAGATTAGGTATTTATAACCACAGCTGTAAAGCTTACTTGGAAGGAGTAGTGTAAACAGTTATTATTTATTCTCGTTATACTACCGTTATGAGCTAGCAATGCTACTTGTTTGTAACTTTCAGCCTTTCCCAGAAATGCAGCCTTCTCATTCTGAGATAAAAGTAAAACTGGGACAATGTCATAGTCTCGTTTTTAAAAGCAGACCAGAGATAATGGAGACTTCATAGTTTTAATGTGGCAAAAATCAGAAGGGCTGTCTTTGTTTCCCAAATATTTCTTAAGAGGCTATCATGTGCGCTCTAATGAATTTTCACAAGGTCACATGAGAGCACATTGGTTGCTTGTCTGTTTAGTCCTTGTTTGTGTGTGTGTGAATGAAGCTTTTACAGAATTTGCTGTGTACAGTAGTCAATCAGCACAATTATTTATACACATGCATTCATTGCCAAATAGAGCTTGCCTGCATAATAGCCAGCGCAGAATGGGGCAGAACACGTTTTGATGGCTATTCTCATTTATTTGTTGCCAGATGATGAAAAGCGATCTCAGAACTATCTCACAGGAAAGGGGGAGAGAGCTGTAGTAAAGCAACCCTTTCCCCTAGGAGAAGCCAGTGCCAGGCAAGGGAAGCTGGCAGTAAAGCTAGTGAACAAATTGTCTGAGAAGGACATGTATGCACCACCACCAAGTCTTGGTCTAGAGATGCCCCATAATAACTTGATTGATAAGGGCCTGCAGTGAGCGGCTGATTGAATTGGTTCACCCAAGGGCTCCTGGATATGGATGTCCTAGCACACCCGTGATGATCTGCTGCCACTGCAATCAGATTAGCTAAACTAGCAAGTGTCTCTGTAATGTGAAGCTGAATTTCTCTCCCCTGTACTTGTCAGAACTGCCACGGCGGCATGTTAATGTACTGTATTTCCCAGTGAAAGCATTCAAATGGGATTTAGGGAGTTGGGGAGAAAAATCTAGCAGGCTCATAGCAGAGATACCAAGGTGGCATTGTACTGTAAAAGAGTAATGAGTCATGTGTGCTTGAGCATGGAATACTTAAGCATACCTTTATATAATAGAATAGCCAATGCAATGAGTGATTTCCACACCTAGCTGATAACGAATAAAGAAGTCCCCAGTATAATATAATATAATCTAAATCTTTTATTTGCTTGGGATGCTTCAAAGGTGGTATTTTAACCTTACAGATATGGGGCAGTATTCAGACCTCTCATAAGCGAATACAACCCCGCTGAATTCAGTGGATTTACACCCACTTCCACCCGTGGTGAATTTGGCCTTCTGCGTTTTATGGGCACTAGCTGCAAACACTCCCCATGAAAGTGAAATGCCAAGATCTTTTGCATATTAAAAAAAATCCTGTAGACATTTTATTATACTAAAAAGCAATTTTAAAAGCTCAAGTGCTACTGGGTACCTTGAGACTTAGAGGCAGATTTGCAAGGGGTGGGTTTTCAAATGACCTTCGCTCTGATTTAGGATCTATACAAGGTCTTGCTTGTCAACCGAACTCTGCACCCAGCAAATCCCGTTGGGACGCTGATGGCTGGATTTGCCACGAGAGTTCAGCACCCAGCGTGCTGGAACGTTTTAAAAATCCCCTGTGGATGCTGAGCCCTTCTGAAAATTCTGGCCTTAGTCTATGGAGGCCTGTTTCTAGTAATTCAAGGTGGAAATGGGGTTTTCCTGTCCTCTTCACACTAGCGCCCCAGCGCAACAGTTAAGCAGCTTTTCTAAGTGTTCTGAAAGCTGAAATTCTGTGCAGTAAACTCAAGAGCCAGGACAGACATGCCAGTAATTCAGTTGGCCATGTATGGGAGACACCCCTTCAGTTTTCCTGCCCCAGGTTTCCTGGGGTGTTGCTTGGGATCACGATGTGTTTATTTTGGAGATGGGAAGGAAGCAATGAAAAGTGTAAATCTAAACACACACATTTAGAGAACAACTGTGCCTTACTGGCATGTCTCAGAGAGCATGGGCAACGTCTATTCAAATATTCCACTTCAGCCCAATTTTATCAGATCAAGAAAGGGGGCACTTCAGATAAACAAACAACTGATCTCCCATCCAGCAGCCCATCCATCATCAGACCTAGGACTTGTGCCATTTTCGAATGATCACCAAACTAGGCTGTGTCAGGTCAGTGGAATAAGCAAATGACAATCTATAATCCTTCACTGAGCATGCTCTGCCAGAAACCCCAGATGCTTACATCTACACGCTTTAATGTGCTTTAGCTGTCACTGGGTGAGGCAAGGAGAGAAGTTGTCTTTCTCACAGTCAGGAATCAAACTTCATAGGTTTCTAGAGACCAAAGCCAGAAGACAACAGGAATCCAGTACAGTTGTCAAAGAACTGGTGTATGTTCCTTTTAATTAACACATTCAACAAGCAGTCACCCGCATTCTGCACCAAATCTAACTTCCAAGTGGTTTTCAGGTGCAGCCCATGTAGAGCCCATTGAAGTAACGCAGTTGGGAGATCACAAAGTCATGGATCATTGTAATAATCCCATATCTGAGAGAATGAAAAAGGCTTTCTTGGCCCTATGCCCCAAATGTTGCTTTTGTAGGCAAAGGGTAGACCAATGCCATCCAAACCATGGGCAAGAACTACCCCGACCATACTCCCCTGATATTCCCCTGTACCCCCAAACCCTGGAGCATCACCACCAGATTGATCCTCTGCCATCTCATGTTCCTCCAAATCTCTGAGGTGCACACTGGGAAAGTGGAGGTATTGCACCCTCTAGATTTGATGATAATCGTAAGCCTTGTTCACAGATGAATGATACTACAGGCCCCATTAACAAGCACCGTCCTCCCCATCCATTGACATGGAGAGATGACAAAATAAAGTCTGTGGAACCCAGCCTGAGCAATCCCTTGGGAGCAGATGTGGAGTTGTACAAAACCTATCCTCTAGGTCCTCCCTGAGAGAAAAAAGCAGCCAATGCAAAGCTGTTCACTTAACCTGGGACCCAATGCGTGTTAACATGCATTATGGTCAGAGTTCGCAAAAGCTGCTGATGGATCTAAGGGTCCGTCTACACTACCCGCCGGATCAGTGGGTAATGATTGATCTCTCGGGAATCGATTTATGTCTAGTGTAGACACAATAAATCGATCCCTGATCGCTCTGCTGTCGACTTCTGTACTCCACTGCGGCAAGAGGCGGAAGCGGAGTCAATGGGGGAGCGGCGGCAATCGACCCCACGCTGTGAGGACGCGAAGTAAGTCGACCTAAGATACGTCAACTTCAGCTACGCTATTCTCGTAGCTGAAGTTACGTATCTTAAGTCGATCCCCCACCCCACCCCACCTCAGTGTAGACCAGGCCTAAGAGATCCTTCAGGGACTCATGACGGTTGTCTGTTGCTTCTCTATGTTAGGGCTCAATGCTGAGGTTAAAATTGGAGATACGCTTACAAGGGTCATTTCAAAGTAGCCTCTCCTTGGCATGACTTCTAAGGAGAGAAAATATAATTCTCAGGACCAACTGTTTAGTTGGGGCCATGCTTCTGAAAGGGGCCATGGAATTCTGCAGTGGATGACAGTCTACATTTGTGTAGTGTGCTTAATATTGCATAATGGGGAATATTTGTCTACTGCTGACGAGCAGGCATCTGCACCAGTGGGGAAGAGAAGATTCACTTTTGTTTGTCCTTTTGGATTTTAAGCTCTTTGGGGAGTGATTGTGTTTTACTAGATGGAGGTTCAGTGCCCACCATCATGGGATTTGATCTTGGCTGGGGCCTTTAGGTGCCACCATAATACAAATAAGACATAACAATAAAGTAAACTAGAGTGGGAGTTTTTGTTGATAAACCTGGGTGCAGTTTGGTCATGACACTAGGGTTAATGCTTATATTCTTGCAAAAGTGCTATGAGATTGCTTTAATAACCATGAATGATTGAGAGGACCTGATTGTTTTAGATCTCCCTCAGAAGAAGAGATGTCTGTTTGAAAGGTTTGTTTTATTTCTGTCTGAGTGCCCTGCACCTGTGTTACCAACTGAATAATAGAGCTGTAGTAACCGTATAGTTACATTCGCTTATAGCACTACACCACTGCATGCTTCTACGGCCTTGTCTGCACTAGAAAGGGCCTGCAAATGGCTCTACGTGCAAACTCTCCTAGTAGCAACGTAGCTGATACATGGAAGTTCTTTTGCCAGCGTAGCTTATACCAGCTCCCCAAACAAACTATCCAGGCAAGAGGACTGTTTGCCTGGGATAACTGTGTCTACAGTAGGGCTTTTGCTGGCATAGCTACATTGGTTAGTGATTTGATTTTTATTTTATGTATGTATGTATTTATTTTCTCTCCCCCCCCACCCCCCAGCATACCTAGGCCACAAAGCATGCTGCATTGTGGAATAATGCACTCTGCAGTTCCCACCCCCATAGAGTGTTGCGATCTCACTGCCCTGTGTGGTCGACACTGGCACCAACTAGCTACCTTTTAGTTTGCGCAAGCAACAGCCATACAGGGCAGTTAGATTGCAACACTTTGGTGTGCTCTGCAATGCCCAACCCTGTAGTCCACACTGCAGCACAGTGTCGACACACTAATGTATGTAGACCAGGCCTGGGAGAGGCTTGCAATTTTTGTATCATCCTAAAAAGGTTTATGAGGAAACTATAGATTTTTATTATTTGCCTGTTGGTATTTAGGTAACTTCCAAATGCTATCTCTCTCTCTTGATAAATAACATAATTGTAATGCCTTTAAATTGAAGCAGCAGTGTTAATGACCGATTAATCTTATGACCCACAGGCCCTGGTTATTAAAGTGAGGACCACAGATAATTACATTTAGAAAAGACTGGCATGTCATGTCAATGGAGCATTAAAGAGCCATTGTTTTCAGCTTCACTTTCTTTACATAAAGTAGGAAGTGTGATCATATTTGTCAAGGTTACTGGATTTTTAATTCAACATTTAGTGAGCATCGAGTTTTTCATGTGTCTTTTTGTGTTTTACAAGCCCTGTAGGTTTTGTGAAGGAGCGGCAGTCCTTCACATAAGCAAAGCCGAGGCTAGCGTGGATTTATAAGAAACAGAAATTAAGATTTTTGCTGCTGTTTGGTGTTTTTGAAGTCTGAAACATCTGTGGCTGGGGAGCTTGAAAGATTAAAATGTGTTTAGATATTAGAGGGTGGTTTTGCTTTGTTTAGAAAGTATGCTGATTATTTCACATGCCCCGTCTTTAAAGAATGTAAAATAGTTTAGCTGTCTCAGGTCTGAACTTAATACCCATTGTTGGCAGTGGGGCACCAACTTTAATCCATGATTCTATTCAACTCTCCCATTGTTTAGACAAAAAAAATAGTTTCCATAAAAATGTTGGCATGTGTGTTATGCAGGGAGCATAATGTCTTCATTGAAATGGTACCAGAAAGTATTTTTTTAAATTCTATTATTCACAAGACAGACAATATATTACAGTTTAAACATCCGGTTTAAGACTAACATGTCAAATTTGTGTGACTGGATGCAACTCTGTTAACTTCAGTACAGTTGTGTCCACTTAAATCCTGGCGGACTTTGTCCCAATAGGTCTGTCTCAGTATTTCACCTTGCAACTTTAAAATGTGGTATAAGGCCAATAACATGTCCTTTTCTTGCAGTTACAGGGATCCATTAAGAGAAAACTGGAAGATGACAGCTCCCCTGCTTCCAGTGGCATGCCCGATGTCATTTTCCCAAGCGACAATAAGAGACTTTGTCTTGATGATGTAACTCTATCTATGGGCCAAGAGACCAATCCCAATGTGTCATGTCCAGATATGCAGAACTCTCCATTCTCCACCAATCACAGCACTTCTTCCATGGGAGTAGCTGGTCATTCAGCGCTACTTGAAAACAATCACATGAATGGCAGTGGTATTGGTTCTCCATTTTCGGTACCACCCAACACAGAAATAGGACAGAAAGGGACGATAGGTGGACAGAATAATGTTGTTCATTATGATGAGAAAGGAAACAATATGCAGTCTGTGGACCAGGAACTGCAAGATCTGTTAGAAGAGCTGACAAAAATGCCTGATCCTTCTCCTAATGAGCTGGATCTTGAGAAGATCTTGGGAAGCAAGGCTGAAGAGCCACTTGGTCTGAGCCACCCACAGTCAAGCATAAGCACCACGCCAAAGTCCTCTCCGCAGACATCTCACTTGGAGAACCACATTGTGAACAAAGATTTTTCTCCAGGTTGTAATCCAACAAGTGGAGGATCACCCCAAATGAGGCCTCCATCTGCTGGGGCTAACTATACGGTTCCTCCTCCAAACAAAGCTGTTGCATCACCCATCTCTTCGGGAGCACAGAATAAGAATCAGGCACAATCTATTCTGCCAGTACCCTTGCCTAACATGCCTACATCTAACTGGCATGCACAGCAACTAAAGCAGCTGGCAGCAAGCAAACAAGTGTCTACTACTAATAAGCAAGTACAGGCTCCCAACTGGCCAACCATGTCCACTCCAGGTCTTTCTCCGCCTTATAGGCCGGGATCATCCCCCCTCCATCAACCTTTCAGCCCTCAAAATGTCATGGTGTCTGGCATGACTTCTAATAGTTTACCAGGAAATAATATTCAGAGTCCTCAAAACACTCTGCTTTCAAACATGGCTTCCAGTAACAACCCGTCCAGCGGGCCCTCCCCACCATATGGGTCAGAGAAGCTTTCCAGTCCAGCGCTTAACCAGCAGCCTTTCAGCCCCCAGAACTCCATGCTATCCAATATGACTTCAGCCAGCCTCCCAACCAATAATATTAAAAGTCCGCAGAACAATTTGGTTCCCAGCATGGCCTCCACGAATACTGGACCGTCCCCACCTTACAGGCCAGAAAAACTGTCAAGCCCAGCTCTGCACCAGCAGCCGTTTAGTCCTCAAAATACATTAATTCCTAACATCACTCCCACCAGCAATCCCACCAGTATGCAAAGCTCTCTTTTTAAATTGATGACTACAAACCCGTCCAAAAATATGAACATAATTATGCAACCGCCATCTAATGGCTTGCAGAATGAGAATCCTGTTACCCAAGACCAGTTTTCTTTTAATAACACCAAACCACTGTCTCATTTTGCATCGGAGTCAACTACTCCAAAGATGTCACCCATGACTGCCAATCCAGGGCAGCAATCCCTCATTCACTATCTCCAGCAACAGCAGCAAGCACCAGCCACACAACAGTCTCCACAGGCTAATAATACCCCGTTTATCGAGCAACATCTTCGACAACTGATGCAACCACCTCGGATGCAGAGACACATGCAGCCTGCTGCTTTGCCATCTCAACCCAGACAGGTTAGAACATTTTCTTCTATATTAAACGGGTTACATTAAAACACTGATGTTTTTGTTGGGGGTTCCCAACACCTCTCTGTTTCAAATATAGCATCACTAAGCCCTTTGGATATGTACATAGACATAATGGTAACAACATTCTGGGGTTCTTGGGAGTAATTCTATTGATTTCTTCACTATGTCGTTCCATCATACACATCCTAGCTGTTTCCCCTAGCTGAATGGATAGTTTCGCACTATTGTACCACAAATGTCTCAAACCATTTACATCACTTTTTAAGGGAATAGTTTTGCTCTTCTAGTTAGCTTATTTTGGTAGCCGTGAAGATATTCACATGATGGATTTGCCATCATTTGTCGCTCTCTGTTAAAATAGTTTTTCATACTCTGAACCAAATTCCACCCCAAGTTACACCTCTGAAGCCAGGTAGGCACAGGTAGGATGGAAAGTGACGCCAGAATGTGGCCCCTGAATGTTTAACAATGCAGCACTTGAGTAGCCAGGAGACAGATTTGAAATAACTGTTACAAAACTCACCAAAAAATGAAGACCTCTTGGTGAGTGCCTACCCTTCCCTAGATAGATCTGGATTATGTGTTTAGTGGACAAAGGACCGCAGCTGTCAGGGGTTAGAAACACCATTCATTTCTCTCGAGTAACCCTTGCTGGGAGAGGTGCTGAGTGACATCTGTCCATATCCTACCTGATCTGAGAGATGTTCATTGTGACCAAGGGCCTTTGACAAAGGGAGAGCTAAAGGAATGGGGTTCGTTTTGTGGGAGCAGGCACAAGGGAAGCAAAGTGGTTAAAATAAAAATGCAACCTCACAGCCACAATTAACTATGTTGCTAACCAGAAGCAAAACTCTGGCAGGAGAATCTGTCGGGCTGCGTTTATTGAGCACAGTGGACTCTGACCAGACACCAACTGGCGTGGAGTCTAATCACTTATCATTGGCCTGCACTCAGAAGAGCAGAGGATGGTCTCTGAGGTGCTGTTGAGTTTAGCTGAGGAATGACAGACAAAATTGAGGGTTCCTTTGTTCTTCGCTGTACCACGGTCAGCTTTCAAACGTCCAGCGTGTGCCAGCAGTTCCCACATTATAGTATCTTAGATACCACAGCCTTTTCCTGTACTAAGAATAAGAAATAAGGTAGCTGTTGGTAAATGTCAGCTTCTTAATGGTAACTAAATGTAGCTCCTTTCCACAGCAGCCATTTCAGGACTGACTCACCCTTTTCCAAATAAGTGTGCTCTTGATAGCCCCTTATGATACATCTGCTTCAAACAGGCTAGTGGGAAGGGCTGAAACTCACTGATGCTGCTTATCCAAACATATGTATCATATACCACTGGGCACTTTGGGGGTTGATTAGGCATTAAAACAGAAAAAAACAGGCTACAGATGTAAGGCCCTGATCCAGCAAAGCACTTAGGCAAATGCATAATTTAAGCATGTGAGTAGGGTGACCAGATGTCCCGGTTTTATAGGGACAATCCCGTTATTTGGGGCTTTGTCTTATGTAGGCGCCTATTACCCCCCACACCATCCCGATGTTTCACATTTGCTGTCTGCTCACCCCACATCTAAATCCCATTGTCTTCAGTGGGACTAGTCGTCCTCTTAAAGTTAAGCCTACAGTGAAGTTGTTTGCTGTATCATGGGCTAAGAGTGTTTTTCTCCATGCTCCTGCTCCCAGTGCCCCAATTTTCCCTGCTTTGCATTCTGTCACACATCTTTTGAACTCCAACATCACTGATTTATCCTTTTAGCCAAGAAAAACTGGAAAAGATTCCCTTTGGAGAGTCTCTTTAATTGGTCAGTGGCTCCACTTCAGGCATCTTTCTTCATGCTCGGCCCGGGCTGCATTTCTAGCCCCGGCCTGCCTACAGCAACGAGCAAGAGTATATAATTTGGGGGCTATCAGTAAAGATCAAGGACAGTTGAGACAGGTGATGATTATTTCACATGTCCACGTCAGGTAGGGAAGGTCACAGTGCCTCACTGATTTTATAAGGTAAGACTTATTACATTAATTATAATCTAAACTACACTGCTTCTCCAGGTTTTATAGCTTGTTAAGCTGCCTGTGATCAATGGTGAGTGTTGAAGATCAGGATACTTGCCCTAGGTTTTAATAACTTTGACAATTTTAAATGAAAAAAGTGGCCCCTGTATGCAAAATTATAAAAAATACCATAGAGAGAGAATATTCTAGACACATGAAACATCAACATTCCAGTATACTTAAATTTAATGCGTCTGACGAAGTTGGTATTCACCCACGAAAGCTTATGCTCCAATACATTTGTTGGTCTATAAGGTGCCACAGGACTCTTTGTTGCTTTTTACAGATCCAGACTAACATGGCTACCCCTATTAGTACTTAACTTTTTTGCAGTTATATATACAATTATTTTTTCAGTTGGGTCAAAAGCACTGACGTTGAGATTTTATTTGCGATCCCGATTTCACACTAGGTTTATGCCTGTGTAACTCAGTGAATTTCATTGGAGTTATTCCAACACACCAATGTCGCTGAGAGCAGAATTGGGCCCTTTATATTTTATTACCGCCACTTCTCCATCACAGCCAGTAACAAATAGAACTATTCAAACGTAGATCGATCATGGCATTAAAGGACAACAAGTAAAAGATTGGGAGAGGGAGGCAAATAGCTTCTCCATCTTTAAAAGTAGTAATTGTTGATGGAGAACAATATGGAGAAATATGTTAAGAGGAAATTATCATCGTACCCTGGAATGTTGTTTGGTAGTTTGAAATCATCCCCATACTCTGTGCACGTGTGTGTTTGTATATGTGACTACAATTTATAAAGAGAAGGCATAGTGCTTTCTTTTTTTGAGCAAGAGGTGAGGCTTTGTACAGAAGAAGGAGGAGAGAATGGATGGTGGCCAGTTGGAGGAAGAACAATAGAGCATGAAACTTGATCTTTGCAGCAGGCAGAGCAGCATGGGGAACGGAGCAGCTGCTGTGACATAAACTCCAAGTGTGAACCGCGTTGTTGTTGTTGTAACACATTAAAGAGAAGACTCTGCATTCCAAAAGCTTGGAGTGACCTACTGGTGTCTCGCAGCTATATGGTTTTTTTTGTACTTCAGAGATAAAATATATCATGTAGCTTAGTCAGACTGTTTTCAAAATCGCATAGTGCCTGGACAATTGGTAAATCTGATAATGTCTAATCTTCTCTCATCTGAAGTGCTGTGTCTTCATTGTTGAACATTGACAGATATTGATTTAGTCACTGACAGTTTGCATTGTGTGATATTGGAAAGCCTGGTACTGCTAGCATTGCTCGTGTAGATTATATTCAAGTTTTCATTTTGCTCATGAAGTATAGATCCGTGCAGAGTGAAATTCCGCACACCGATTTGGATTCATAAATTCACACTACAGAGAAGGACATGAAAGGCCAAATTGTCAAAAGTGGTCTCCAAAAATATCATGCATACTTTTCCACACTTAGGAGATTTGGTGGTCCAAAAGGTGTGTCAGGTTTTGGACACGCGGCAGGTTGGAAAGCAGAGCACAAACTGCATTTGCCTGGATAGCTGTGCATCGCTCTGATTTGCATGCAGTGCAGTTTGCACTTGCAGAGCTGCGTTCTTGCATGTCAAAAATGTAGTGCCTGATTCTCCTCTGATGTAATATTGCTTTCATTGGAATTCCTCTTGATTCCTATTGGGGTGAGAAGAGAACTAGGTCCTTGAATGAGGAAACGAAGGTCCCCAGAAGGTTAAAGGTGGGCAAATGAGCCTGCAATGTTAGTGGCTGAGTTTAGGTTGCTTTGAAAGGACCAGGTTGAGACACTTTCAGTCTTCTAGGCACCAAATTTGACATCTAGTAAAACTGTGTGGAACCTGGTAAGAGAATGGCATCTGGATTGTGTAAATATCTTAAAAACAAAATAGCATTTTACTGATTGTTTTGCAGAGGATATAAATAATAAATCGCCATCATTTGGGTGTGACACACTGCACATTCCTGAGCTCTGCAGCAGCCAAGCATGCTATTCCTAGAGCTCTGTGCATTCCTGCTGACATGTGGGATAGCTGTACAGAGAGGAGTCAACAAAAGGTATGTTGGCTTCAGCTCTGTTGCCAAAGCCATGGGAGGGAAGAATGGAGAGGAGCAAAAATCAGCGGGAAAACAATTCTATTTATAGGATGAATGGTCAGACTTGCATCTTGCTATTGAGTGGTGCATGAAGAAGAGTAAGACCGTGAAGAGCAGATTGAAATGAAGAGTGAGAAAACACTAAAGGGGCTTGACAGTGTTTCTTTAGCTGTGGGGAAAAACTAGTAATACAGTGTCTGAGTTGGCAGCGTAAATTATCGGTAGCGTGGAAGAATGAAACCCCCCCAGCTAGATTATTTCAGGTGTTTTTTCTTTGTGCATTTGAGCTAAAGTTTGGTTTCTGAGCATAAGCTCTTGCATTTAGAAACAAACCTGAAGAAAAATTTGCAGTCCTAAGAGTACACTGACCCACTGCTTTGGTGTAAAAGGTGCCCTGTTATATTCTCCATCACATTCTATTAATTTACCTTTTATCTATATAGGCATAAACATTTGAATACCCTGGGCCTGAGTCTCCTGGTGCCCTGCACCATGTGTGGTCATTTACACCAGTGGAAAGTCAGCCTATAGTAGGTGCAAAATGCTACTATTCTGGCTGGGTAGCTGGTCTGGCGTAAATGGATAAGCATTCTGAAAAGCAATGGAGAATCAGGCTCCTTGAATCTAAGTACGTCCAAATCTTGTTGTGACTTCAGGGGGACATACCCAGTGTTTTAAATGCCTAGATGTTGCATGAAGACATGTCTGGCAGAGAGAGCATCCAAGCTGTCATGCATGAATAAACCTTTAGTTGATCAGACCAAAAACTGCTGGCCAGATTTCATCTGTGTCTTCTGTGAACATTTTAAAAAAGTGT